TGTATAGCATCAGCTGCAGTAGCACGAGGTTGGGCTAATTATGTACAATGCTTCATACGTGCTGCATTTGGTGTAACCCTACCATCATGGATGTATGCTACACCTACTCAGTATGGTATTATATCATTCTCCGTTTTAGCACCTACACTATGTGCTATATGTAATCACTCTATTAATCTCATATCATCATGGTCATGTTCGTCATCATCATACTATTAGTATTAGGTACTCTTATCTGTTTATCTGGTGTAAAGGAGAGTGCTACCTTTAGCTTCAGTATGGCATGCCTTAATATAGTATTACTCCTAACCTTCTCCCTATATGGATCATACATGTACTACTACATGCTATGCTGCCACTCCTGTAATATCTATCATAGGTATGGTGATGTTGGTAATATGGAGCCTTTCACTCTTCCCAACGATGCAGCAGTTGATGGGGTTGGTGGCTTTGCAGGGGTAATAATAATAGTAATACCCTGTACAGTTGTTATATGCTCATTAGGTACTGCGTGGATCTGGGTTAGCATTCTTCTGTTGTGTTGGGTGGGATGCTGTATGTACACTGAGTGAGGAGGTACGGAACCCTAAGAAAGATATTCCCCGAGGCATTATGGGTAGTACATACCTACACATACCTCACCACCATCATTCTATTATTCATACAGGTACATTACTTATTGTAGCCCTATTGTACTCTATGTTAAGTATTACTCTATGCCTCATGACCCCTATAGATAGTATTGACTTGGATGCACCTCTAGCTACTGCATTCCAGTAATATACTTCATCATACCGGCATATACAGTACCTTAATACCACCCCAGTATTACCCACACAGATACCACCATGACAACTGGGGTTATATTATAACATCTCTGGCAGCCACTACTGTCTGTAGGACCTACTCTCATCATCATCATCGTCATCATCATCATCGGTATATGTGATGATGTAGGTACCCCAAGCGTTATGAGTGGTATACTGGGGCAGCCTCGTATCTGGTATAGAATGGCTTTGGATGGGTTACTCTTCAAACCCTTAGCCAAGCTTAGTGCTCACGATGTACCTGTTGTTGGTAGGCATGCTTCTATCAATCCATCAAGCTCCCCATACCGAACCGTATAGGTACTACTATATGTGGTATAATCGCGACTATACTATCAGCCGTATGCGATTTTGAGCCATTAGCTGGGATGACCAGTTTCAGTGGGTCATTATCCTCTATTGACCATTCTTAGTATCATTGTTCAGGTACATTGGCGATGTTTACACTGGTTAATGGTGGTATTATATTAACGCGAGTAGAGGATTACACTGAGAGGAGTGGTAGTAGCTATCCTCCTATCACTACCACTAACATTACCTACTCAATATCTCTCTTTGTAAGTCTCTTGTAGTCTCGCCCTGTGCCAAGGTAGTACCTTGTAGTTCGCCCTATCGCTCACCTTCCACTACGTCGCCGTGCTGCATGGTCTCTTTACATGTTCTGGCATAACACTAGAGCCCTCAATCTAGCTAGTCTAGCCTGGCTACTCTACGTCTACTTCGCTGCCATAGCACCTCCCAA